GACGAGGACGACACCTGAATTGACACCTTCCGCTCCAAATTTCCACACCACGCCAACCGGAGGACTTTGAGCCTCGACAGATTAAAAATGCATCAGCTCCTAGCTGGTCTTTAGTGGCATCAGGGCTCGAACACACGATTCGACGAAAACCGCCGGCCTCGAGTCCGCGACTATGACCTCTAGACTGCCTCGGCCACTTATTTCATAAAGATTTTATCACATAAAAAAATATTTTTGCTTCATTCAAATTCAGTAATTTCGCTATTAGTTTTGTGCAAATTTTATAGCGGTCTTGGAAGCTCAGTGGTTCACGAAGGTCACGAGCTCGTGACCATCGTTGTTTCAGTTCAACTGTGAGATCGCTACGGTATCCCAGGGGTGCGTCACCCTAGCTCATTTTTCAGAATATATTTTAACGAAGTTATTTAACACTAAAATGGGAAACAATTTCAAACCAAGAACAAAATATTTGTGTAAAGTGAATTGAAAGAAATGCGTTGGGCATATTCTGTGTATCGTGGCCGCGGTTGGCGGTTTTCGTCGAATCGTGGGTTCGAGCCTTGATGCCATTCTAGACCCGCGGTGTAGCCGGAGCTGATGCACTTTAAATACATCGATTCTCAATGTCCTCCCATAGGCGTGGTGTGGAAGTTTGGACAGGGGGATACTATCCAATATTCCTCGCAATGCTTCTAAGTGTGAAATGTTATACAATTATCAATCAATCATCCTCATCACCCTCAATGGCTATGCATGCTTATTCACTCTTTCTTATAGGATAACCATCGAAACCTGATAGTGGTTAAAAAACTAAATCATTACTAAGTTAGATTGTGATACTTTTAATTAAATGACTGATTGTGATACTAATCATTACTAAGTCAGATATCTCTAAAATTAAGATCGATAAAGCTGAAATACATGTTTCGAACAGATTTATAAAAAAAAATGTGCGTGTTATCACATAGTAAAAAAAAATCTGATTTAATGAAACATGAATCATGTAGCTGTCTGCTGTTGAATGAATTTTCAGTTTGGTGACTCATTTGAGCGAGTGTAAAACAAGAATATGATTAAATAAAGGAAGAGAGACATGTATTACAGACTTTCTATCGAAAGATTTTTATGCTACGCTATGTTACTATCCTTCTTGTATAATCTAATTACAGTTTTATACATTTTTTATTATCTGACGAAAGAAATATTAAATGGGATGAAAGCATTTTTTTTTTAAACAATTGAAAGAGTCCTAAGTTTAAAGTTTTTCTGTTCTCTTCAGAAATAAAATATTTTATACAAGACAATGAGAGATGACGTTATCTGTTTGGAGATCGATTCGAAGAATTTCGCTTCATCATCTTCGTTTATGAAGAGTTTAAGCTATTCACTTACATTTTTCTTGGTTATATATTTCATAACTCGATTCATGCGTTTATTTTGAAACCTGCTCAAGAAAATTCATTCTTTAACCTTACGAAGAATATTCAGTTTTGTTCTGATATGTTTTAGGATAATGTTTAAACGACTCATACGCATCCATACCTATCAAACTTCTCCTGAAATATAAAACAAATTGTATAAAACTAAAAGAAGCTATTAATAAAATTAAGTGACAATCCCTTTACAAAAGCGAAATTCCAACAAAAACCAGGCAATATGAAATACTTTGACATCTTAATCGTCTCGAATGACACAGGACGTCGCAATTAAATGTACTACCTTTTCTCGACTTGACGAAAAAGAAAAAAAAACGATTGTCTCGGGAAAAAGAGGCCGAGGCGACCACTTTTCCTAATGAGCATACCGACGAAAACAAATATGGCCTTTCTTCAGTTCAGTGAACTACTGAAGCTGCTCGTGGTTCGGCCCGTCATTTTCTGCACTGTCGCTGAAATGTGCTTCCATTCTACTTTTCTTTCTTTCTTTTGTTCTTTGTTGTTTTTCCCGCGCTAACTTCGCACGCTTGGTGAAGATGTACTATGCTAACATCTACATTGATGAACGTTTGTAAATAGTAGGCTGCGTGTGAAAGTTAATTTTCCTTTAATTAAATCTTCTTATTTTTTTACTCTCGATTTGTTTTTGCTGAGCTAAGAAATGCGAAAATGTAAACAAAAGGTTATCGACTTGAGGTAGAAGTTATTGTGAGAGAAAATTACAAAAAATCTTCTATCAAATACTAGATTTCGTTCTTTTTAAAACATCGCTTAAAATGCGCGATTGTTTTTAATCTCAATTTTACTTTTAATTATTGACATTTTTTCCCACTTTTTATCTTCCGGCTTAGTGATTATGACCTTACAACGACATGGGAAAAAGGAACGTGAACAAAACTGAGGAAGGCTACTGAAACACGGCAAAATGGAAAACACATTTTTTGTGTAGATGTTCTTCGCAATATCAAGGAATAACGTGCGAAACAAAAACTTTCTTTTCGTCAAAAAGGGGGCTTAACTTCTTCAGGTAAGTACGGGCATCACTCACCCAAGTTACTTTAGAAATATTTTTCCTTTACCGTTTACTGAATTTGGTAAACGCGGGGGACGCGTACCCGGGATACCCAACCGATATTCTCTATTTCCGACCCCTTTCTTGTCAACACATTTTTCGTTTTTCCCATTTTTCAAACATCTATGTAACATTTACATCTTGTTTGCAACATACACATATCTGACTCTTGTGCCATTAAACTTCACCGTCAGTCACTAGCTCACTATTGGCCAAAAAATAAATATTCTTGATTGTTACAAATATCATTTCCGGAAGTAATATTTCTTTTGTGTTAGTTGGGCAAGGGGGGGAGGACATGACAAAAATTAAGTGCTGAGGTAACATTAAAGTAGTAAACAATTTGAATTCACTCAAGCCCACCTTATGTTCAAAAGTTCAGTGTGAATGATTGTTTATTAAAGTCACATTTAGAAGCAATACGAGGGCTATTGGCAACAAACATAATAATTCTGAGTCACGATCAAGTGATACGTACGACATCTGAGCTTGTACTCTGCTGTCTAAACTTACAGGCTACGCGATTGTGAGGACATTTGAACTTCGATAGATGTATTAGCCCCGTTACACGACGGATCTTTAGTAGCATCAGGACTTGAACCCATGATTCAACGGAAGTAACGCCAGCCGTTAGTTCCAAACTATGACCACTCAATTACTGTCCAAAGGTCCCGGATTCTACCGTACGAGGATCCATGTGGTGACCGGATATGACAGAATAGTCCCACTGCAGCTCATGCATGTCATAAGAGGCGATTAAAATGGGTACCTTGTCTGAGGGTATAATTGGGTACCTTGTCTGAGGGTATAATTGGGCACCTTGCCTTCAGGTATTATATCAGGGGACCTCAGGGGCTTGCCTTCTTAAAGTAAGTACAGGCATCATGACCCCGAGGCACCCTAGTGATCTTTTTCTTTCCTATGGGGTTTTCCGTCTTTGGTAAACACGTGTGACGCGCCCCCGGGTTACCCTAGCGGTCCTTTTCTTATTTTCGACCCTCATTCTTGTCAACCAAATTTTGTCTTTTTCAATTTTTTCACAACTAGACCACAGTAACAGCTTGTTTGGCGCAGCATTGCCCCATCTGGCTCTTGCACCAATAACCTTCACTTTCACTCACACTCTACCATACGAGTATGTCTATGAAGTGCAGTCGCCTGGTGCTCGTGGTCATGGTCTTGAATTTAAGGTCGACATTGTCTTCTTCCAGTTGTGGGTTCGAGCCCTGATACCACTAAAGACCAACCGTGTAGTGGTCGTGATGCACGCTAAATCTGCGAAAAATCCCAAGTCGCCCCCGTTGACGCGGTATGGAAGTTTGAAGAGAGTTTTGCCAGCTGAGGTGTCGTTCTCGTCACTTGAACGAGGTTAACAAAATTATGAAGTCCGCTGCCAGTAACCCTCGTGTTACTTCTATGTGCGAAGTTAATAAACAATCAGGCCTCGGTAGCCTAGTGGATAAAGCAGCGGACTCGAATCCGGCGGTTTTTAACGAGTCGTAGGTTCGAGCCTGATGCCACAAAAGATCTGCCGCGTAGCTGTAGATGATGCACTTTAAATCTGTCGGGGCTCAAGGTCCTCCAATTGGTGGGGTGTGGAAGTTAGGAGAGGGGAGTGCCAGCTCAAGTGTCGTCCTTGTCACTTGACCTAGGTTCAAAATTACGAGGTCCGTCGCCAAAAGGCCTTTTTGCTCCTAGTGCGACGTTAATAAAACCAAATAAACAATCAGAATCGCAGTGGTCGAATGTCGGATAACTTTTTAATAGTTATTACTTCAACAAAAATTCAATTCAAATTTCTTTAGTGTAGCAGTTTTTCATATTTTTTGAATAATTTAAGGGATATTTGTAACATTTTTATGTTATGTATATTTTATCTCATTCTGAAGGATTAACAACGATGCTATACAGAGCAAGAATGTTTTAACAGAACAGGGACAATAGTTCCTCAAATTACTCGATCATAAATAAATTTCGCACGTAAAGTAAAATTTCCTTGTCTAATTCTCAGGAACTAATGAAGCGAAAATTTTTATCTGAAATAAAATTTCTGGCAAAAAATATTCTCTATAAAATAAATCCTATAAGTAATGCAATAATAACTTAAATTCTTTCTGGCTCCTCTTCAGTTCAAGCTCTTAGGGGCTTTCCTTCTTCAAGTAGGCTCGAGAATCATGACTACGAGGCACTCTAGTTATCGTTTTCTTTTCCCGTGGTTTTTACTGTCTTTAGTAAGAACGGGTGAAGCACCTCCGGGGTACCTTAGATATCCTTCTTTATTTTCGATCCTTAGAATTTCATAAAATTTTGGGATTTTTGATGTGATGCGAATGTATATTAACGCCGCATTCAGAAGCAACACGAGAACTATTGGCGATGGACCTCGTAATTTTAAACCTCGGTAGCGTGACAAAGAAAGCGCCTAACTGGCACCTCCCTTTCCAAACTTCCACAAAACATCAACTGAAAGGTTAGGAGTCGCGACAGGTTTTCAACAGCATCGGGACTCGAACCCGAGTCTTGACTGAAACAATACCGGCCGCGAGTCCACGACCATGACCATTAGGTCACTGCTACTACCTGTGGTTTCTGAATCAATATGTTTGTATCAAATAAATTTATTTTATAAAAGAAACACTTCGAAACAGATGTAGCTCGATATATATATATATATATATATATATATATATATATATATATATATATATTCCGGAATTCATTTCAAAAATGTTGGTCATTCCTCCATTAAAGCTTATATTGCATTCTTAAATTCTTAAGTGTTCCAAACCAAAAAAGAAATCAAATTTTTTTCTTCCCTGACTTCAAAAAGATTGAGAACTAAAAACTCAAAACATTGCGAAGTCTTCAGATATTTTTTGGATACTTCAATTATTTTTTTCTCAGTTTGTAAGTTTAAATGATGCTGTCTCATTAAAAGTTTTAATGCTTTCATAACTGTCTCGTGAATATAATGTATTTAACGCGCTTATTAAATGTCCTTATCCCCGATTGGCAACAATCTATGTTTAAAAAAATATCGAGTCGATATATTTCATTCCACATATGCTATGAATAGTTCATGCTACCAATAATAATGACGTCGAAGAGTGCTATAAATTACCATACTACAATCGTAATTCGGTCTGATTTAATCTAAATAATATAATTCCACCTTCCCCGCTCGGCCGGCTTTTGACAACGGGCGACACGCGCGCGAAATGCAATCGATAGGCGTACAGCTAGAGTTAGTGCCCCCAGCATTTAAGTAACATCAATAAACTCTCGACAAAAGCGAAGCGATTTCAATGGCGGACCTCCGTTGCTAGGCGACGGACCATCTCTGGACTCCATTACAATAAATGTCAAAAGTGTCGATGATGGAATCTGGCAATGGATTTTGCAGCGGCAAATATGGAAGGAGAATCAGCAAACGATTCCAATCTTCGCTCCAAAATGGCGTACAAGAGAAGGGAATTGGAATAAATAAATGAATTTTCATTTTCACTTTTCTGCGTCAATCCTTTATTTCGGCATTGTTCTTATATATTTTGTCGTTCTACCACCGTATTTTTTTTTTCTCGAAGAAACGTGTAATAAAATGGAATTGAAATCCGTTTTGAAAGAATGGATATTCCAATTTATGGGAATATTTCTTTTCTCCGAGCTTCTCGAAGTTTTTTTTCCCCTTTTCATGACCGTTTGCCTCTCGAGAGTGCGTCACGCAAAAATAGAATATCGCGATGATGAATTCGAAAAAAATTTCATTCACATAATCAATAACTTAGTTGGATTTATGCAAACAAAATACATGCGTGCTTAACGTTCTGTTGATATCAAAATAAATCCGATATTCATGAAAAACCACATCACAAAATTGGTTATTTTTGTTTAACTCTTTTTTCCCCCTCCCTTTAGTCGAGTGGTTTGAAAGAGATTCCAATTTTTTTTCGGTTCCATTGATTGATTGATTGTTTATAAACATCGCTTTTAAAAGTAAGACGATGGCCATTGGCGTCGAACCTCGTAATTTAGAACCCCGCACAAGTGAGGAACATCATATCTGAGCTGACACACCACTCTCTTGACTTCCACACCAAGCTTACTTGAAGACTTGGTACCCTTACTAGATTTAACGTACATCAGCCCCACTACACGAAGAATCTTACAGTGCTTCATTGTCTATAACGTCACACTTGAGAACAATGTGATGGCTTTTAGCTACGAACTTCATAATTTAGAATCTTGGTCAAGTAACGAGGTTCTCCAAACTTCTACATCACGCCATCGGGAGGACTAAGGAGCTCGAATAAATTTAACATCCATCAGCTCCGCTACATGGCGAGATTTCAGTGGCATCAGGGCTAGAACCCAAGACTGAATAAAAATATCGCCGGCAGCGAGTTCGCAAAAACATCACCACTAACAGTAAACCCATGACTTTTTCATGACGAATCTCGCAATTTTGAACATGGTTGAGTGACGAGAATGAAACCGGTTTTGTTTGGTTTTATTAACGTCGCACTAGAAGCAACACGAGGGTTATTGGCGACGGATCTCTTGATTTTGAACATCGGTCAAGTGATCAGGACGACATATGAGCTGTTCCCTCCTAACTTCCCCACTATGCCAATGGGAGGACGTTGGGCCCCAACAGATTTAATATGCATCAGCCCCGGCTACGCGGTGGGTCTTAAGTGGCATCAGGGTTCGAACCCGCGACTCAATGAAAACCGCTGGCTGTGAGTCCGGAACCTTGACCACTAACTACTGCTGCCACGAGAATGAAATCGGAGACTTTCTCCAAACTCCTATAATATCCCAACGTGATGACTTTGATCTCCAACAGATTTTATATGCAACAGCCTCACAACACGACAAGTTTTTAAGTGGTATAGGGACTCTAAACCTCGATTTAACTGAAACAACGCCGCCATGCGCTTGCGATCGTGATTATTCGGCTATCAAGGCCTGTTGCGGTTCCAATCAGTTTTCATGAATATTCAAATGAATATTGCACTATGTTTTAAAATTTCTATACATAAAACACAGAAAAACAAAAAAATTTAAGGCAAATATAATCGCAGAAATTAGCATAACACCAATCAAAGATAATTTTAATTTGTATGTAAATTTTACTTCCTAAATGTACGCTGTAATCGCAAAATAATTAAATTTCTTAAAGTGCATTAGAATCGAATTAGAATTTGTTCTTGCATTACAACACTCCAAGCTTATTTTTAAAAGAAACTTAACTCAAACATGGGTGTCCGGAAAATCCCGAACACAAATTTCAAAAATAACGAAAGTATGCGATGTGTATAGTATACAAAATGTGGCGAGGTTGTAAATCACAGGAAATAGCTTCAGATGAAAAGAAAACTAAAACAAGGTCATTAAGAATTCCAACTCTTTATTTATCAAGACCGGTAACTGACTCAAGTTATTTGGAAGTCACGAAACAATGTATGCGGAGCTACACGTCACAGTGCAGTGATTTTCGCCCAAACAAGTATTTCGAAAACAATAATTACACAGTGGTCAGATCTTCTGTAATTTATCTCCTTCCGATACTATATTCTCGAACGCTCAGTGCAGTAAAGAACGTGCAAATTGAAAACTATGTAGTAAATTTATGTTTTAAATCTAGATTGTCATTCTAAATTCTGTTCTACTGATCAGTCTGGTACAATTTATAGACAAGGTTTCATTCTGTATTCAACGTCTATTTTTCATTGTAAAAGTATGAAAAAAATTATAATATTTCTCCGGTCAAGCGTATTATATTGTTTTTAATTGATTGATTGTTCATTAACATCACACTCAGAAGCAACACGAGGGTTATTTTCGTCGTAAATCCAAGTTTTGAGTCACGGTCAAAGGAACTTCCACACCACTCCAACGTGAGGAACTAGAGTCTCGAACGATTCAACAATGAATCGAAATCAGCTATACGAAGAGTCTGGAACTCACGATACGCCTAAAACATCATCGGCCATGAACTTGTGATTATGACTATTCTGCTACCGCGGCTGAATGTGCCATTTTGGGAATTTTTACTTGCCAATGTTTTGTTAAGAAACATTTTTGCTTTAAATAACAATTCACGTCGGTTATTACGGCCGCGGTACCTAGTGATTAAGGCATCGGACTCGTGATTGGCAGTTTCGTAGAGTCGTGGGTTCGAGCCTTGATGCCACTGAAGACCCGCCGTGTAGCCGGAGCTGATGTATGTTAAATCTGTCGAGGCCAAAAGTCCTCCCTTTGGAATAGTGGGGAAGTTAAGAGAAGGGGTGCCAGCTCAGGTATCGTCTTCGTCACTTGACCGAGGTTCAAAATTACGAGGTCCGTCGCCACTAGACCTCGCGTTGCTTCCAGTGCGACGTCAATAAAATCAAACAATCACGTCGGTTATTAAGCTCCTAACTGTAACCTCCTACTCAACTGATGCTCCATTTCTCTCATAAATAAATCAGCCAATCTGAAAATAACTAAGCGTCATTCAAATTTAAATGTTTTGAGTTGAGGGATGTGGAGCAAGAAAGGCTATTATCCTTAATTTTTTTTTAAAGAAATGAACTATAAAAACTTGTTTTGAGTTTCGCAGTAGGCGATTGAATATTTTTAATGTAAACAAAAACATGCTTTTATATGACGTAAATATGCAGATATTTTTTTGCGGCGTATTTCAGAGCTTTTTTCCTATGCTGTTTAGTAAAATTTTATTATATTTCTCTCATTATTTTAATTTATTTGTTTATCAATATAAACTGGTATTGAAACCACTATATATGTTTATTTTTTTCTTTGTATTTTAGAAATCTTAGTAATCAGATAAATACTAAGGGAAAGTGGAGGAGGTTATACAAAGCAATATTAAGTTTAATTTTTCAAAGTGCCAGAAAACAATGTCTCCGAAAAAAAGGTCTTCCGAATAGAAAAATATTGGGATGCCGATTATAAAGTACGTAAATATGTAAAAGTTGTCATTTTTTGAAAGCAGTAATGATTAACAGCAAAATACATCTATATTCAATAATTTGATTATGGTGTATTTAATATACTGTTGATACACAAACAACAGTTAAAAGCGATGCGTTATATTGAAGGCGTAATGTTATTCGAGCAACAATGTACTCTTTTTATTATCGATTTTCCATTACACTGTGTCCACTGTTTACTTAATGATAATCAAACACATTAAAAGCATAAACACAATTTATGGTGACACGAGACATTTTCGTCGAAAATATTCCTTTGTAAAGATATATTCAAAGTAAACAACAGAATTCTCGTTAGTAAACGGTAGCAAATAAAACCTTTTGGAGCACTGTTTTATGAGTTTTACTACAATTTATGCTGGAGACATTTATACGGGTAATTTGTTCTACGAAAACAACGCGTAATTAGAAACATGAAAGACGGTTTAAAAAAATCCGTTGTTGATTGTTGGATACATATTTAGCTCTTACTGGAGCTGAAGGTTTTATCAAGATGCTTTTTAAAAATTTATCGGCAACGAAAAACATACATCTAGATGTAACTACCACATATTTCTGTATCGATTGTTTGAATGATGGT